ATATATTTGTCCTACAGAGATATTCATATATGTGTGAAATGATACAGTAAAAGGCTCACTTTTTGGCATTGTCAGAAATAGCATAAAGTTGAAATCATTAAAATGTTCACTTTGAGGGGACTAACCTATTAAATAAATTATGAAATACAATACAGCCCTTAAAATGAAGCAGCTCTATATGAAGCAATAGTATATTAGTATACTAGAGGCCTGGTGCACGAAATTCATGCATGGGGGGAGTGTCCTTCAGCCCAGCCTGTGCCCTCTCCAATCTGGGACCCCCTCGGGGGCTGTCCTACTACCAGTTTAGGCCCGATCATGCCTCTGCCTGCCTGCCTGATCACTGCCTAACTGCTCCCCTGCCGGTCTGATCGCCCCCAACTGCCCTCCCCTGCCAGCCTGATTGCCCTCTAACTGCTTGCTCCCCCATGCTGGCCTGATCTTGCCCCTAACCACCTCTGCCTCAGCCCCTTCCACTGTGGCTTTGTCCGGAAGGAAGTCGGACATCCAGAAGATGTCCGGTCGACCCGGTCTAATTAGAATATTACCCTTTTATTAGTATAGATCAGTGATGGCGAACCTTTTGAGCTCGGCATGCCAGCATTTTGAAAAACCCTAACTTAACTCTGGTGCTGTGTCACATATAGAAACTTTTTGATATTTGCAACCATAGTAAAACAAAGACATATTTTTGATATTTATTTTATATATTTAAATGCCATTTAACAAAGAAAAATCAACCAAAAAAATGAGTTCGCGTGTCACCTCTGACACGCGTGTCATAGGTTCGCCATCACTGGTATAGATACTGGTATTAAAAGATTGCTAAAATACATTGTTAAAAAATAATAAGGTACTGAACATTGCATATGGTGTCCTACCATTTATCTAATGACCAATGCTCAATCCTCATCTTAATTAATCTCTCAGTAGAATTTGATCCAGTTGTGCCCTTGCTTCACTTGGCTTTCAAGACACCACACTCTTTGTTTTCTCTCTTACTTTATTGGTCACCAGAGGAAAAGTCAACATTTTGGGGACCTAAAGCTTATACAATTTGGGGGGCTCTCTTTAAGAAAAAGAATATAATGTTACAAATACAAATTCAGTTAAGAACTGATGTATACTTGTTTAGAGTAAGAGGGAAAATAATAACTTATTAGAACCATGGAGATACAGGTTCTCAGGTTCTTTTTTTTTTTAACTCTTATCAGGCAGTTTACTAGAAATGCATACATAGAAACGTTTTTTATTACAATCTGACTTCCCCTTCTTACTTAGAAGCACACTACATCTCCCAGTAACTCACAGCACTCACAGGGACACATCAGGTGCAGTCACCTTTCTTGGTTACTCCTCAGTCTCCTAGACTGGTTCCTTCTCCTCTTCCCAAGATCTTAATGGTAAAGTAGTCCAGATCTCAGTTCTTAGCCTTCTTTTCTCTAGTTAAACTCACTTGGTGATCTCACCAAGCTCATCTATCTTGTGGCTTTCATTACTATTTATATGTTGAGAACTCTCAAATTCATATCTTCAGTCCAAACCTTTTTCTTGTACTTCAGACTAGTATCTCCAATTACCTACTCAACATCTCTATTTAGATATTTTGCAAATATCTGAAACTTAGAATGTTGAAAACTGAACCTCTGATCTTACTCCCAAAATTGGTCCACTCAACATTCCTTGTCTCAGTTGAGGGCAACTCCATCTTTCCATTTATTCAGATCAAGCATTCTTCTACGTGGCTTCACCCTTGATTCCTGTCTTTCTCTTGCACACACCATCCAATCTGTTAGTAAATTCTACTGGTCCTGCCTTTACATTGCATTTAGAATTGACCATTTCCACCCAGTTTTACTATGTTGCAAGATGGGTTCCCAGGGGAGTAGACTCAGATGGAGATTTGCATGCCAGAAAAGATAAGCTGATATATGTTCCAAAGGGGAAGAACCAGAAATATTTGATAAACATCACCAACCACTTTCATAATTTAGGTGGACATGTAGAGAGTGTTATAAATGTGGGTAGGGAATTTTTAAGTGTGAAAAAAAAGTATTGATGGATTTGAACATATAAGTATTAAAAAATATCTGTCAAAAATAAACTATTTGAACAAAGCCATTTGTAATATATATAATTAGATGAAATATTAGAACCATTAAAATACAAATAATTTAAACAAATCAATAGTTTAAAAAGCATCCATTTTAAAATGGACTAAGATGATAAATTCTATATAATAAAGAGGTAATATGCAAATTAACCCTCACACCTTCACAAAATGGCTGCCTATGACCAGGCCGGCAGGGGGGTTAGTGAGGGAGGACCAAACGACTGAACAAGCAGGCTGCG